GGCCGCGTTCTGTACCAGCTGAAGACGCCGGATGCTCTTCAAGGGCAGCCCCATGTCCCGCATTCTTCATTCAACTTTAGAAGTTTTTGCATGGACTTAAGGGTATGTACCACAGGGTAAATAGACAATAGGATTTTTGGTTTAAAACGTTTTTAAAATTGTTAATTAAATGCTCCCTGGAAAAGCAGAATGTAAATTGAATGAATAAACAACCAGCAGCATTGGCCATTTAGCTTTTAAAACCTTGTTTGGTTATATAAAAACTCGATATTCTTTATTTTTCCCCACCCTCTTCCCAGGCATTAGCAAATATTGAAGGTATTGTTTGCTGTGGCAACAGTTGCTTTGAAAACAGTTGCAGCCAGAGTAAATGTCAAAGCGTTTCTTTGTAAAAAATAACTGTGACATCCAAAGGGGCTTTGCAGGGTGATAAAATATGGGTGGACAAGTTCTATGTATTTGGTAAACATGATTTAGAAAGAAATTATTTGCCTGTGGATTGAAATTTGGTATAACTGCACCAAAGGATTTCTTCCTTTTTTGTACATGTGCTTTTTTGAGGCCCTCTTTTTCCCAGGTTGATGGGTGTTTTTTAATATAGTGAATTCACTAATATAGTGAATCTTAGCTTTACTCACAAACAAGAGTAATTATAACACCTTACATTTTTGAGAATTAGAGTTTTTCCTTAAAATACTAAAGGATTCCCTAGTTTCTGTAAATTCAAAAGATCTGGTAAGCTATTTAAATCATTGTTCCAAGGGGGAAAAATGTTTCTTATAATGAGATTGTTAGCATCTACACACTTTATAAATCAGGAAAAAATGAGATTAGATATAAGTAAATCTTTCATTATGTCCATCTTCCGCCCACTACTATGCCTGTCATTGAGAGACAAGAATCAGGGATGCCGGGGGAGTAAAATAAAAGAGGCCTGAAGTTACATTTGTTAGGTATGTGTTTTATTGATTGCAGTGAAGCAGGCAGGCAAGTTTGTGAACAGTTGCATTTATAAATGCGATATAAAAGTGTCCTCTTTCATTCCCCATGCGATAAAAGGTTTTCCAGTAAGCGAATGGTTTAAATGGGATACCAGAGTTGCACAATGAGCTAGATTTGTTGTGGTTCAACACTGGGCAGGATGGGATGAATAAATTCTGTTAAGCCGCCCACAATAGCAATATCCACTGCTAAGGTAGAAAATTATGTAAACAGACAAGGCACTGACAATAGCAACATTTTTTTTTGTTAACACCATGTAAATTGCAAGTATTTATTTCCATATATCAGATATATCCATATATGAGCAAACAAACATGCTTCCAAAAATGACAAGTAATACTGAAAGGCACTTTTCTCTGGCATAGCAAAGTACATTGAAGTAAGGTTTTAGTGACATATTGTCAATTTGGAGAGAAGGTGGGAAAATACAAGCGGTGGGTTCAGTGAGCACATGCTCACTGAATATCTTGGCAAATGGAATTTATTTGTTGCCTTATTTGATGTAACACTTTTTTATGATATGACCACAAGGAAGGTTCCCTAGATGTCAGTATATTCTTTATAATTTTTTATATCCCTTGATTTTTATATCCTTTGATATAAAAATTATTCTTTCTGAAAATAAGTGCTTAAACAGCAAGTCAGTGTTCCAAGCTCTTGTGGCTCAGATTTTATTTCCTTTTGATAGCAGACTCCAGATGACTTTTTTAAAGAGTTGCTAGATTTGCAATGAGGCAATCAAATTTAATCTTTCAAATTGATGGAATTGTTCATTATAAGGGCCTCATTTGCTTCAATCAATAGCAAAAAATCTATTCCCTGCCTTAGTCTATACTCCTTAGGCTACTTTTCCAGGTCCAGCTCTAATATTCATTCAAGTTTCCCAGAATGTTTGAAACAAAACATACCTTTCATAGGTGTCATTGCAGAATATGAAAATATACAGCAGGGAGGATAGGAAGATTTAAATAACCTGCATTCACAATAGATCTATGGCATATGCTAAGGCTAAGATAATACATGTAATACATGAAGTCTCTTGTATTTCCTTCCTGATTGAGAAAGGGAGGGATGTCTTGGAATTGCCCCAAAGACCACAAAGTAGCTCCCATATTAAACATAAATTTCAGGATGGGTAGCCAGAGCCCGCCCTACATAAAAGAAATACTCTCTGGATTTCAGAGCCATTTTTAAACTTTTTGTGATATTGTTTTTGCTTCAGAAGAAGAATTGAATGAATCAGCCTGATTTTACATGCAGCTCCACAAAAAAGCTCATACTAGAGGCAACAGTATTACTTCATAGAAAGGGCTCATTTCTTTGTAGAAAATGACTGCTTTAACATGAATATCTATCTACCGATTTCTGTCTATGTACATTTCCTCATTCAGGTAGCATAATTCGATGTATGAGGAGGCTAGAAGAATTGCTTAGACAGATGTGCCAAGCAGCAAAGGCCATTGGAAACACAGAACTGGAAAACAAATTTGCAGAAGGTTTGTATGTACAATATTGTATAAATACGTGCATCTTAAAATGTAGAATATATTTACAAGCGGTTTAAAATTGCTTGGCTACAAGCTAACGTATTCAATTTGAACTGAACATGCTTATTAAAATCTGCTTGTTGCCGAGTTTGATTTGGGGGGGGGGGATAATTTAACCTAGGAGTCTGCTAATGTTTCCCAACAGTCAAAATAGCTGTACAATTATGTTGAAAATTCAGCACTGGATTTTAGTTTCATTTTACCACATCTTATTAGCATGATCAAGTAGTATCTGCCTACAACCATCCCATTAACCTTGGATATATTCTTTCCTTTTTTATTCTCAACAGCAATTACAAAAATCAAGAGAGACATTGTGTTTGCTGCAAGTCTTTATCTATAAGAAGAATGTGTGGTGTCTGAACAGCCTTCATTCTGCAGCAGTTACTCCAAAAAAGAGCCACTAAAATGACCATTGCTTTCTCCTCCCAAGCAAGACATATTCTTATTTTGAATGTATTCCATTGCTGTTTGTAATAAGTATTATACATTATTTTAATTAAAAAAAATAGTCAGGATATTGTGTTTATAAAGCATAAGCTTGAACCAATAGAAATTTGAGGTTTTTAGATACATTGTTGTTAACTATATACATATAAAGTGAGCACTTTAGAGGTATAGCAGCAGCAGTCCCTTCAAAAGGCATTTATTTGTTTTGTACAGAGATCAGAAATATTTGTGAAATTTTCCTTTTAAATAGCAGGAGATTCCACAGGATAATAGCTCTTGCACATATCATGGCTGGTGATTACTGCCATAGTGATTTCCATTGGTAGGCGTCTCATGTAGAGTTGTATGTGAATCTTCTTCCTCCTTTTGTTTAAATGTACGGCCTCTCTCCTTGAAGAAATCTGAGACATACACAGCCTGTAGGGACACAATAGTTGGTATAACGCATCAGCAGATAGAACAGCACTTACTTAATTGTTACTGTCCTTCTGTGTACATCAGCCACTGGGGGCACTCGAACTAGAAGACTTTCTCTAGAAGTGGTGGCTGATACTCAACAATTGATTTACAGAGCAGTAGGGGGGGAAAGACCAATATGCGGGATAGTGAAATGTGGTAGAAGGCTGGCACAATACTGGAAAATATAGCATTGGCAAATGCAAAACTTCATGTCATCTTTTCCCCATTGCAGTGAACCTATGACACACAAAGCTGGTGATTTAAATATATGAAAGCCCTATTGCAATTTATTTCAGGGGGGAAAACCCAGAAAGACTTAAGTCAAATTAGCTTATTTGAAAAGGAATTGATCAAATAGTAGGGGGGGGGAATAGTTACAGACTTACGATAAGGGTTGCTACTATTGCTCCCTGGATGAGTCCAGTCAATACGTCGCTCCAGTGATGTTTGTAATCAGAAACACGGGAGAGGCCCACGTAAATGGATGAAGCAACAAGTCCAAACTGGATTGTAGGACGCAAAAGTCTTGCCCAGTCATTTTTCATTCTGGCCTGAAGATAAAGCTAAAACCAAAAAGGCACACTTTCAGCAAGAGAACGGAAGACCTGTCAAAAGTTAAACATTTTTTTTTTGTAGAAAACCCAATCACCTAATGGATAGTAATGGATATAGTATCGGCATAGCAGAAAGCGAGTAGATCACCTTGTTAAGATAAGCATAAAGACAACAAGCTGTTTCTTCATATCCAGTTTTGTACTTAACATTTTAATAGACATCCTTTCTATCAGCCTGTATATGTATGTATAAAGTGTTGCCCATTTTTAAATTCAAAGTGGTACAGTGTTCAATAAGTTACAGACGTTGTTATGGTTGTCTTTTCTGAACAAGGAGATAATTAATGCCACAATCATTTGACAGTCACTGTGAAAAACATTTTCTTACAAGTATTCTAAAAGTTCTTAGTTTGGGTATGGTAATATTAATCACAAAACAGTAGCAGTAACGACCAGAACCAGACGTTGCATTTTCTGAAGGAGCTTCCTCTTGTCTTCAGAACAGTCACAAAACTGCTCCTTCTTCCCAAGCAATATTTTCCTAGAACTGACCCTAGTTCTTTAATATCCATAAGGGAGGAGCACTAAGAAGTTGGCAAGTAATTTATCCTCATATACTGTAACTATTCAACAAATAATTATATGGTGTCCTGGGCATGAAAAATACTAACAGAAGTAAATCATTGTGTGAAGTTACACATGCTATGAACTGAACTGCAAGTCGCATGTGTGCTTCCAAAGATAAACATGAAAAGCTACCTGCCTGCTAGAAACATTAGAGCTATCTGAATGAATGCACATAGGCAGGCTTAGGTTTCTGAAACTAGTGATTACATCATCCTTTTGGTACTCATCTGTGTCATTCCGCTATAAAAAGACTGAAGTTTAATGCTATATGGAGCAATTTCATAGATTCAAGCTGTAGTTGGTCTGACTTTCTTAAATGTTTGTATGATTGAAATTTAAGACATTCTGCAGGCATATTCTTCAAAGATGAATACAGGAGTTTTGACACGAAGGCAGGTATGAAGTTCAACATAGTAAAATTGCATAGTAGTGTTCCAAGCCAAACAGTTTTCTCTAGACCTTTTTTGTGACTGTGACCGTTACACTAATGTAAACCATTTATTTCCAATGGGAACTCGAGCCAGGAGTTATTCTGGTGGTCTAAAAAAAGCAGGTTGGCATTCATCCTTTTTTCCAGTTTAGGAATTCCACTGAAGACATTGAAAAATGCTTTACTTGGCTAATATGGTTTCCACACACAAGCAATTGCTGTAGTTGGCAGAGCGACATTACACATGTAGGAGGGAAGGTGGTATATGTGGTTATGAGTGGGAGAAAAGGTGGAACATTAAGACAGTCGTTTAGAAACTTGTGGTTCTAACACAAAACGGGTTGAGTGCCTTGGAGCTAGGTGGTAGCTGGTAGGGTTTCATACGACTTGCCAATATGTCAAAATTGAATGAGTGATTAAAATGTGGTGTTTGAACCTCCCTGAAGTAGAAATGGTTTCATAAAGCAGGACTCTGAACAACTGAGATGGCAAAACAGGAAACGTGGCTTTAATGTTTATTCATGGATTTTATTTCCATATGTTAGAGGCACTAAGTTGCTGAGTGTTTTGCCAGGCTCCCGGAAGAAATAAAGAAACAACAACATTTGCTGCACTGTCTCTCTTCTTCAGATGTTAAAATACGATTAATGAGGAAATAAAATATATAAAATAAAACACATTTACAACTGAGGCAAATTAAGTGATTCTTCTAAGGTTGGAAGGGGTTGGATGCAGCATATTTGGGATTTCTCAGGGCACATCACTTTCTGGGACATTATATCATAAAAGCTCTGAAGGCAGAGTGGCAGAAGGTAGGATGACCACAGAGTTCCTCTGAGATCAGATCTCTATATTGAGGGAAATGAAAAATATTATTTATTCTCTATCCTAAAATCTATATGCCATCCATGCCCATTTGTAGATTATAAAGTTTATAAACTCATCCTAAAGATTCAAAGCCCTTTTTAAATATTTACACTACTGTGTATTAAACTGAAAAGATTCTGTAATCTTAGTTTCCTTTATCTGCACAACTATTATAAAATCCTATATTCATATTATCGCCAAGTTCCACCATCTTTCAGAAGCTGTTAATTGAATGCCATTAGGCTTTTCAAGGTAGAGATTATTGCAAGCATTGGGTAGCTAATGATTTAATACATTAGAATCTTTTTTAATTGGGAGTGGCATATAAATTGTACAAATAGTACACAGGTGAACCAAGAATTATATTTCAGTTTGTTCAGCAACTAAGATGTTTCCAATGGCTTTTTCATGAATATTGTGCAAGTTTTTGGACTGCTGCCAATTGCAGGGAGTACGAAGGGTTAAGTGGTTACAGCAGAGTGGGAGTTTGAAAGATGCTGGTCATGGAGACATCAGTGCCAAGGCATTTCTAAGCTCCCTGGTCCTGAGCAAAAGGATGGAGACAAATGACTTGTTTATAAATTTACAATGGAGGCATTTCTCTACCCTATTCCAAAGATGGTAATTTATATTGTATTTAATTATATTACATGATGATGTATTTACAGGCTACATTTAAAAGTTCTTTCATTAATTTAAAATGACCTCCCCATAGGTCATGATCATCCATAGGTTATATCAAGATACGTTAGGTAAGGTAGGTAACATTTCACTCATAATTAAACATACAATTTTTGCTACAAATATACTAAGTATAATATTCCTGGCTTTTGATCCAAGAGTTTTGTTCATTGGAAGTTGAAATGCAACCCTCATTCTGCTACATTCCTTTTTCAAAAAGTACCATGGATCCATATAATATATTTCCAAGAAGAGAAGCATTTGCTTTCTAAGGTTATAAACATCACAGCCAGCAAACTTAAAAGGGTTTTTGGAACCACCATTAGATAGTTGTAGAAGATCAGACAAAAAAAATGAGTAATATGTAATTACTTCTAGTCATTTTCTCTAGTTCTTTGTTCATAGACTGCCAAATCCTCTGAATTGCCTCAACAGGACAGATTTTCATTATTATTTTTTTAAGATTCTTCTTAGTGTCTGTTGATGACGTGCTCCACCACAGCCAAATTTTCCACTACAATCTGCTCCTGCTATGTGTCTCCATGCAATTATACTCTGCAATGAGATCTCTTCTCACACAATCGTAACAGCTTATAAGATGCAAGCCATGCATTACGTTTTGCTTGTAATATCTACAAAGAACTACTGAATGAAAGAATAGAGGAGGAGGTGTACATCTGCAAGAGTCAGACTTCAAACAAAGGCTGAGATAATCAGATATTTTTTAAGCCTTAAACTCTATATTATAGCTTCAGCCTCTCTTTGTCATATACACAGTGGTGGGTTCCTACTGGTTCGGACAGGTTTGGCCAAACCAGTAGTGGTTTGCTGACCNTTGATTCCTAGACTTGATGCAAGGGGTGATCATAACTACGCAGAACTAGACCATATTATCTCCATATATGGATGGAAAAGATGAGAGTGAGAGAAGAGCAAACACTGTGCCTAAACATGTTCATGCCAAGGATTTCAGACTATTACAATTAGTCTTCTATTCTTGGATGCAGCGTTGCCAAAAGACACAGCCAATATAGCCTGACCTTTCAACATCAGAATGCACCATAGTATATTAGCTATACTTTCATGTTTCCAGACACAGATTACCGTCACGATCATGTCTCTCCTAGAGAGCTTCAGAGAAAGTTATTAATGGTACTCTAATTCCAGCTGGAAATACCTGTCCTTTATAGCTTATCAGTTCCCCAGCTGCATTTCTTTTTCTTCTCTCTGTCACTGCCTGCCCATGGTTCTAATATTTTAAACAGAGGCACAATAGAGATACTGCTAAATGTTCCTCTGCAACTCTTTCTTCCAAAGGCAGCCTCAGAGCAGAACATTTTGTTCCCTCCTGCCAGCCATTTATTTTCCAAACTCCTGCAGTGTTTCTGCAGACATCATCTTTCAATCTTTGTCCCTCCAGCCCTAGTTGGTAAATAAGCAAACCACAATGAGAAAGTGCCCCTCTCTGGACACTCTGATCCTTATTTAGTTGTATTTCATCTTCCTCTCTCGCCATGTTGCTAAATTATTTAAATCATCCCAATAACAGATCATACATCAGGTCTCAAAAGCTTTCAGGAAGTTATTGTTTCATAACAAGTGTCCTTTGCATACTCCTGGAAAGGTTTATTTCAACAAGTCAGATAATATAAACCTACAGCATACATTTTATTTTGACTCCTCACTCTTGCCATTAAGGCTAATGTTGAACTTCTTTCCAGAATAAGCTATTTAAAAATATGAAGGAGCTACTAAGCTAAAGATATCTGGCACCAGAGCTCTTTCTAGGTTCATCGAGAGAGAAACAATCTAGAAGAGATGGGGTTTTTCCCCCATCACAAAACATACATGCATACATCTCATGGAAAAACACTTCAGGTAGTCCTCAATTTACAACAGTTCACTTAGTGACTGTTCAAAGTTACAACAGCACTGAAAAAATTGACTTATGACTATTTTTCAGACTTATGACCTTTGAAGGACCCCCATAGTCATGCGATTTACATTCAGATCCTTGACAACTGGCTCACATTTATGACGGTCACAGTGGGCTATCAATAACCACTTCCTCAATTTGGGGCCCTCTGTGTTTTATTGGACAACAATTTATTCATTTTCAGGCAGCATATCCATCAGGTATGCTGGTTGGGAATTCTGGGAATTGTAATCCCAAACTTTCTGCAGGGCATCAGGTTGGGAATGCTAGGCTTATTGCATCTTTATGTTATGCAGCATGTCCTTTTTGAGGCAATCTATGTTTAGTTCTCCCATATACCAAAATTGCCACAGCTTCTAAAAGTGTGAAGAGATTGATTCCATCCAGTATGTGACTCTCTTTTAAATAAAATATAAATGCTAAGAGGACCAGATAAGATCGCCAGTTTTCAGAGAGAACACATGCTGT